GAGGAAGAGGGTGCTAGTTTTGAGTCAGTGGGTCCCAATTTTTTTTCCTCTTTTTCAACTTTTTCTATAAAAAAAACATGTTTTATTCATATTTTAATCAATTTAAATTTTAAAAAATAAATAATGTGGGACCCACAGTGCCGCGTAATTAATGCAGAGATCTGATAGAAATCCTAATGGCAGAACCACATTGTAACAAATTTGAAAGATCGGGGTATGTGATTGTAAAAATTAAAAACATAGGGACTAACATGTCTTAGAGCATCTCCAACCGATGTGTCAAAAGTGCCATATAGATATTTAACGGCTAGAAATAACATCTCACATTGCTCCAACCGATATGTCAAAGCTGATGTGGAATGAAGGCTGGAGGTTGAGATGTTATTTTTGACATCCCAAAAGCAAGATGTCAAATGAATATTTTATTATTTTTTCTTTTCTTTTCTTTTTATTTAAAAATAAATCAACACTAAAATGTAATAAAATAATAATTTAATTTGACATATCGGGTGGGGTGTAAAACTATGTAAGATGTCAAATTACCACATCAGCCATCAAATTTAAATTTGATGTTTGGTATTTGACATCTCCCTTGGAGATGCTCTTAAGGGTGTAACCACATGGTACTAAACTGTAATTAACCCTAAGAAATATTATTATTGTAATATATGTTAGGGTAAAATTTCAGTTTATTACCCGCAGTTTCAAGAGATTATGACTTTGCTACATGAATTTATTTTTTGTCAACTTCATATATAAAAATTTGATTTCCTATCACTCTTCTACCTCCGTTAGTCTTTCCGTCAATTATTCCGTTAACTCATTACGTGGCATAACTTTGGCCCACCAATTTTTCACCACGTGGAATATTATTTTGTTGAAATAGTAATGTAACTTAATAAGTCACTCATATCGTAACATGTGGTTAAAAAATAATTAAATAAAAATAAAAATCTCTTAGAGCATCTCCACCAGTGCTATCACGCCCCGGACCCGGGGGTCGGTGGAAACCCCGTGCCCGATGCGTGAGAAAATAAAAAGTAAAATAAAATATAAAAAAAAGTCGAAACATGGGTTTAAAATAAACTTCTCTTATAAAAATAGATCTAAAATCTTACAACTTTACAATAAATAAATAAAGCTCTATCACTCTCATTTAATTCATCCTCAACTGGTTTAGTCATTGTGCCCACTAATTCATCTGAAAAATTAAACAGAGTGAGGGATGAGCAACCACCACTCAATAAGGACATGAGACCTTACCACAGTAGATTGACATAACCAAATTAAGTGACATGCAATCACACAGCCAAATATCACATTATTAATAATAATGCATGAATGAATGCTCTTCATCTACTCCGTTAATTCATATAACTGGACAAGCAGACATGCACGTCCCATACCATGCTTATATCACTTTATATCAACTAACACCCATCTCAATCATCCCATAATTTCCCTTTTTGTTAGTCATCTTGTCTAACTCCCTGTCGCCAGTCCCGAATCACCCAATAAAAACCATGTGCATTGTGATATCCCTGAGACTTGGTACCTGTCAAGAGTTAGACTCAACTACACAAAAGATCCTTCCCATTACCCTATTTTCCATACTTTCTTTATCAACCCAAGAATTCCAGCCAATTTCCATGATATGATATAATTATGCCTTTCAAATAATAATATCATGCATAATATAATGCTCACGAAATTTAATTAGATCAATCCTCGTAAAGACACCCCAAGAAATCCCTACCTCGATTCCAAAACATTGTTCCAAGTTAAGAAAATACAAGCTAAGCCCCAAATCTCCTCCAAGAATCACCTCTCTCTCTCTCTCTCTCTCTCTCTCTCTCTCTCTCTTTCTAAATTTCTTTTCTAATTTCTCAAGTTTTGAAACTATAAGGTTATACTCCTATTTATAGTGTTTATAGGGATAGGATAAACTTCAATATTAAAAGGATAAGAACATCCAAGTTTATCCAAAAGATAAATATCCTAGCAAGATAAGATCATTCAAGTTTATCCAAATGATAAATATATTCTTTTATCCGTTTAAAATACGGGTCTTCACAAGTGCCCCCAGCCTGGGCAACAGGGGGCCTAAGCCCCAATTTGTAGTTCCAGTAGGCTTTTACAACCTTGGCAGTTCATGGGTCCCAACAAACCAGGCCAGCCCAAAGGCAAGAATAGCTTGGGCTATTGCCTGGGTTTGCTGACGTCACCAGCAAAAAAAATTTAAAAAACTGTATAAAAAATCTAAAAAAAAACTAAAAATTTCAAATTTTTTTTAATAAATACTTAGTCATATTGTTCACTTCCCACACCAAAAATCTATACAAATTCCTATCCTTATATTTCATGTGAATAGCAGTTGCCCTTTGGTTGCTATGATAATGGATGGAAACACCACAAGCCTTTTGCAAAGGCTGCCACTATTCACATGAATGGTAAAAGCCCTTCCTTGCCCTTGCCCTTGCCCTTTGCTATGACAAATGGATGGAAGTGCTTGCAGAAAAATAAAAAAAACAAGCAGATCTGCCCTCTCCTCCCTTCCCTTCCCTTCCCTTCCCACCCTCTCCTCACCGCCACCCATCCTATCTTCCTCTCCCTCCCCATCCTCTCCTCATCGCAACCCACCTTCTCTTCTCCTCCCTTCCCATCCCCTCCTCCTATCTCCCTATTTTTCTCTCTTCCTCACCATTTTCAATAATTGATGGTTGCATAGTGAGTGCACCGAGATCATACCAAAATATATTAAAGGAAATCAGAGAGCTAAAAAATAATGTGAAACTATTGAAAAAAAAGAAAAGAAGCAGAAATGAATTATGAAACCTATATGACCCAATCGAGATCTTGTCCAGGATAAGAAAGCAAAGGTAGAGAGACTGAGAAAAGGAATTCTAGGAAAGCGTACAAAGAGACCCAATCCTGATCTCTGAGCTCATTCCAAACTTTTGGTCGTCGATGTAGGAGAAGTTGGGGGAACTGTCGGTTTGGGTTGGCTGTTGTTGGTGACGATTTAGGGTGGCGGCTGGGATATTGAGGAGGAGAGAGGAGGGAGGGTTAGGGTGGGGAGGGGTGAGGGATGACGATGGGGTTGGGATGGGATTGATGAGGGGCTGGTTCCCAGATATTTTTTTTTTTGTGGACAAATCAGGTTTCCAGATTGATGAGCGGTCTCTCGTTTTTTTTTTTTTTTTTTTCTCTCTAAATTTATTTTAGCTTTTTTATTTTATTAATTTATTTAATGTCTTTGTTTATCAAAAACAAACAAAAAATCTTTTTTTTTATCTTTTATATTTATCAATCCACGTGGCGCAATATAAGTGGATTTTATGGGCCCACTAATTACCATGTCATCGTTTAACATATGACTTGACGGACATTGTAACGGAGGCATGAAAGTTGTAAGAATATCAAATTTTAACTATAAAGTTGACACGAAAAAAACTTTAGGTAGTAAACTCTTAATTTCGGTAAACTTCTGGATAGTAAAGTGAAATTTATCCAATTTATTTATTGTAATATATTTATTTTCCTAAGTTAGTGTAGATAAAATCCCACCAAAGGTGGATCACGGCTTCTAAGCCTTAGATATAAACTAATTGATTATAAGACATTCAGCCCAAATCATTCATCCAATTAGCTATTGTCTATTTTTAATATTAATTCTAATATTCTCTAAATTAAACTTGGAGTTGTAAGAAGATTAGGTTTATAGCAAATTCTAAAATACTTTTAGATTACCATAGAAGAAATAAGAGTTTTTCTATTTAAACCCCACACTTCTCTTTGTTCATCCCGATGCTTAAATCATTAAGCTGTTAAGTTTTATTATTGTGTAAAAAGACAAAAAAAAGTCATCCAACTTAATATTTAACCCTAGTACATCCATACACACACCCAACAGGAAATAAGTTCAAGTGCATGGCTCAATATCCCACTGCGCACCACCCCTCCTACTCCCCACCGCCTTGTCCATCAAATCCAGAGGATTGTCACCAGCTAATATATCGTCATGGTCCAGTTGCTTAAACAATGAGGGTTTTGGTTGTTGAATTGATTTAAGTTTTGGGAGATTGATAAAATGGGAAATTGGGAAACACCCCAATCTGCTGGGCACGGAGCTTCCATGTCCCTTAACGGGGGTTTTGAGCTGCAACCCAATTGAAAAAAGTCAAGGGAAAGAACATAGTCCTGCTTAAATCTTTAGTAGTATATGTTTCACTCTGAAAGCAATTAGACCATAGACAAGGAATTGAGCTTAGCCCAGTCAAAGTGAATTAGATGGCTATTTGCAACATTAACAAAATCAATAGCCTGCCCTTCGGTTTCAGGAATTGTTCTTTGGGGTATAGGAGGTGGGTTCCAATTCCTTTTTCCAAATTTCCCAAAAATTGTTGGGTTTATAAAGGTGGGTTCTTTTGCAATTGAATTGGGCAAACTACAAAACTGACGAAATAGGAACTTAATAAGTTATTAGATCAATCCGAGGGTTAAGTAGGGTGTGTGGTGTTTGTAAATTAATACTTAATTTGAGGGTAGTTTGGGAAGATAGTGGGGTTTTCTTAGAAATTGTGAAAATTTGAATTAGAAGTTGGGGTGAACAAAGAGAAGTGTGGGGTTTAAATAGAAAAACTCAGAAATAATAGCCAGGACATTTTCAAAACATAATAGCCAGGTACACATATTCAACAAAGACATGGTGGTGATTTCTCTACTGTAAAATCTAACGGCCAATATGTGAACCAAGAAGTATTCCTTGGATTTATTTGAAGTTTGTGTGTTTCGAATCGACATGGAAGTTAAGTAACAATTAATTTGAGAAGGACAAGTATTGAAGTTACTGCTTAGGTGGTTGTCAAAAAGCAGGCTTTATAACTACCGGCTCTTACTCTGTCTGACATTCTCAAGCGGTTGCAAGCAGACGCGTATGGTTTGGGTTGGGACGTGACAATTAAATTATAGGGTTACTTTCAAACTGTGAATTTTCATTTAAAAATAGAAACACAAAGAACGCTCTAATTGAATTTGTTTGGGGAAATTACAATAAGTAAGTCTAATGCCATCACCTACCATGACCTGACAGGGCAGCTCTGAATTAAATTGCTTCACTATAAGTAATGGCCGAAGTCATGGCCAACTTTACCAAGCAACAATCCCTTGTCTCTCATACAATCCTCAAAACCATTGGCTGAAGAAAGTGTCACATTCTCACTCACTCACTCAGTCTCTCTCTCTCTCTCTCTCTCTCTCTCTCTCTCTCTCTCTCTCTCTCTCTCTCTCTCTCTCTCTCTCTCTCTCTCTCTCTCTCTCTCTCTCTCTCTCTCTCTCTCTCTCTCTCTCTCTCTCTCTCTCTCTCTCTCTCTCTCTCTCTCTCTCTCTCTCTCTCTCTCTCTCTCTCTCTCTCTCTCTCTCTCTCTCTCTCTCTCTCTCTCTCTCTCTCTCTCTCTCTCTCTCTCTCTCTCTCTCTCTCTCTCTCTCTCTCTCTCTCTCTCTCTCTCTCTCTCTCTCTCTCTCTCTCTCTCTCTCTCTCTCTCTCTCTCTCTCTCTCTCTCTCTCTCTCTCTCTCTCTCTCTCTCTCTCTCTCTCTCTCTCTCTCTCTCTCTCTCTCTCTCTCTCTCTCTCTCTCTCTCTCTCTCTCTCTCTCTCTCTCTCTCTCTCTCTCTCTCTCTCTCTCTCTCTCTCTCTCTCTCTCTCTCTCTCTCTCTCTCTCTCTCTCTCTCTCTCTCTCTCTCTCTCTCTCTCTCTATGGGGCTTTTGAAAGTTTGGGTCACCATTCTCATGACCCCTTGTGCAACTTTCTTGGGGAGGAAATGGAATCTTCTAGACCTTGTGACAGCTGGTATGTTCTTGAGTGTGCATTGCCTGGCTTTGTTTGCACCGTTTTACTTCACTTGGACTGCGTTTTTCGTGGCCTATTTGCTGGCCGTTGTGACCGGTTTTGGAATCACTCTTTCTTACCATAGAAATCTTGCTCATAGAAGTTTTAGGGTTCCAAAATTGCTTGAGTACTTGTTTGCCTACTGTGGGGTTCTTGCACTTGAGGTATGTCAAATCTCATTTTTGAGCAACATTTTGCAAGTTTTGTTGTTTATGTTCTTTCTTTTTTTGGTCTACTTTTACGATTTTCTGTTTGTTGTTTTGGGTTTGCAGGGAAGTCCAATTGAATGGGTGAGCACACACCGATACCACCACCAGTTTACTGATACAGAAAAAGACGCTCACAGCCCTCTTAAGGGTTTCTGGTATAGTCATATGGGCTGGATCCTTGATAGCAATTCTCGGTTTGGAAGAGTAAAAACAACCTCTCTCTCTCTCTCTCTCTCTCTCAAGTAATAGTTACACTTTTTTCTTTTGGTACAAATGCTTACACTTAATTTTTTATTTTTTATTTAATGAGAAATTTGCAGTATGGAGGACTAAGGAATGTTGAAGACATGAAAAAGCAGCCATTTTATGTGTTTCTTCATCATACTTTCATGCTACACTCATTTGTTCTTGCAGGCATATTATATGCCGTGGGTGGACTTCCCTTCTTGGTTTGGGGAGTGGTGAGATATATAGATTTTCCTCTCTTTCATTTCTAATAAATTGATCATGTATTCGCACAAGATCTTAAACATTTCAAACCAGAGAAGTTGTGTCTGAAACTCTCCCCTTCTTATTACTAGAATTATAAGCACAAATATAAATACGTATGCTTTATTATTCTTTTTTTTTTTTTGTTTATTTTTTTTTAATTACTTCTAGCACAGATCCTTGAGTTTAAACTCATTATCATTTGCAGGGCGTGAGAATGGTAGTTGTTTTCCACAGTACTTTGTTTGTAAATTCTGCTGGCCACACCTGGGGATATCAGGCATGGAACACCGGGGATCTGTCTAAGAACCTTTGGTACTTATATTACTTAATACTCTCCCTTGTACTATATATTTCATATATAATTGAGAAATGAAAGTTGCAATTCATTTTAAAATTGATTTTTATATATTGATATTCAAATTTCCAGGTGGTTGGGATTGCTTGCACTTGGAGAAGGCTGGCACAATAATCACCATGCTTTCGAATACTCAGCTCGACAAGGCCTGGAATGGTGGCAAATTGACTTGACTTGGTACATCATAAAATTTCTTGAAGCTCTAGGACTGGCAACAGATGTCAAAGTACCATCCGAGGCTCACAGGCAACGGATGGCTTTAAAGACAGACTAAATCCATGGCTGCTCAAGATTGCTAAGCATGGGATGTCTAGCTTCAAACTCTATTTGCTGTTTTAGGGTGGTAATGATATTTTTCATGCATGTTGTGGGCCTTATTATTGTTCAGAATTAATGCTATGCTTTGTATTAGCAATTAATGCTTTACTTTTAACCAGGCATTTATAACAAACTTGAGGGGTTTTGTTTCATGACTTTGGGTAGTTGAAATACTTTAAAGTAGAAGATGATCCTTGATTTGTAATAAAAGGATTAAACTTAAATATCACAAATTTGAGGTTATTTATTTATTTATTTTTCATTTTTAGTTGTTTAGGTGTTCTTAGGCTTAGCTTTGATTGTTGAAGGTTTAATTTGGGTATATTTTAAATTCTTTTTGTTCTTTTATTTTATTTCGTAACTTTACTTACGGAAGGAGGTGTGTATGTGGAATAAATAGGACCACATTTCCATACCATCCCTTTAGTAGAAGCATGTGAGATCTATAATGGTCATGTACAAATAGTAGCACCAAGATTTAAGTCGGGGTCATGGCAGTGGGTTGCTGCGCTATCCTCGGGGTTTAGATCACTTGGTTGGGTTCAATGGACCTTGCTACGGGGTTGTTCCTCGTTACAAAAAATTAAATAAAAATAATAATGAAACCTGTGGAGAACTATGCCAAATATATGCTAGCATTAAGGAGAGTGAAAGAGAGAGGGGCAGAGAGTGGGTCAGAGATGTGGTTGGGTGTTGGGCCGCAGGTAAGGGTCGGGGTTTGGTAGTTGGGGAGAAAAAAACAGAGGGACCATTTGCAGAGAGAGAGAGAGGCCATTTGCTGTAACTACGCCAAATATATGCTTTTTTGGGTGGAACCTGGAGATTAAAACCAGGGCGCAAATAGCGCAAGCAAAAACAGAAGCAGGAGTCCAATTAGGAGGGGACTACAAGCATGCATACAACACAGTTAAAGACCAAAACATGATACAAGTTAAAGCAGAAATGCCAGATAAAGAAAAGAAATAGACGGTGCCATAGATGGGCAAAGGACGTCGAAATCTGATCTAGCATTCCTCAAGCGCTGTGAATTGGGGGGTAAGGAAGACCATCTTTGTCCAAGATTCCAATCAAAGAGGATGGGGGTCGGTTGACCCAAATAGAAAGGCTCATCCTCGACATAGCTAACTTGGCTAAGTGATCAGCTGCCAAGTTTGCGGTCCTAGGGACCCAAGACCAGTTACAATCCCGAAAGGTAGAGCAAGAGTTTCTGATGCTACATAGAATTGGATAGAGCTGCCACCTACCTCGAGGGATTGACCGATTAAGGCAAGATATGGCCTCTTTGGAATCAGATTCAATGACTACTCTGGTGTGCCCGTGTTGGATAGCAAAGTTACATCCTTCCAAAATAGCTAGAGTCTCAGCTTCAATGACAGAGTCTGCTGCAATAGAGCAAGCAAGGCCAGCAGCAAAAACACCACTAGAATCATGTAATATCACTCCAATACCTGCCTTATGGTGCCCAGGTTTCCAAGAAGCATCCACATTAATTTTAACGATACCATTAGCAGGAGGGGACCAAAATTGGGGAGTTTGGGCCACAGGAACAGGGGTCCTGCAAGTTGCATTCTTCGAGGCTTGAGCATTAAGGTAGCTCCTACAAGCAGCATGAGATTCACAGATTACCACCATTGGGGATGGCGGGTGAGATTCGATAGCCGTCTTGCATCGCATTTTCCAAATGTACCAACAAATGTAACCAATACTGGTCATGATATCCTTGTCACCCGAATTTCCATTCAAACTTGAGGAGAAAGATAAAAGCCATTTATCAAACGTGGTGATAGATATTTTGTCAATCCACAAATTAAGATAGCTGCCAAACCATATAGGCTCCACCCAGTGACAAAGAAGCAGCATATGTTCAACAGATTCACTTTCGTCACCACATATGGGGCACATTGGAGAAGTCCCAATTTTTCGTCGGAAAAGATTAGCCTTAGTAGCAAGACAGTTCCTCAAGGCTCGCCAAAGAAAATTTTGAATTTTTGGGGGAGCAGTTAAATTCCAAACTAGCTTCCAAACCTCTTTATCACAGGACAGTGAAGAAGAAGGACCAAATATATGCTCTTCAAGCAATTAGTGATATTTCTCCCTATTTTTTTTTTATAAAGAGCTTGAAGTTATAATTCTCCTCTTCATAATAAAATAATAATAATAAATTGGGTTAAATACTTTTTTGGTTACTAGGTTTTACACAAAAATTCAATTTGGCTTAGAAATTATTTTAGCCAAATTGGTCACTGTGTTTCTCAAAGTATACAATTTATAAACATTCAGTTATCTTCCGTTAAGTGCGGTTTTATTTTTATTTTTAGGAAGCACGATCAGTCTTTTCCCTCTCTAACTCAACAAGTTAGGGTATATTCTGCTATTAACGTTTAACAAATTGTGGGAAATCTTGCGTTGAAATTGAAATTATGAGGTATAAGGTCACAGATTGGATGGTATACTGAAGCCTGAATCTATTCAATGAGAACCCTATTGTGACTTCTCGCATGGCAAGGAGATGTAATTAAGGTGATAGAACACCAAAATATATTGGTAAGTTGTTGATTTCATTTTAATTTGGTTTACCTTTTTTATTTCCTTATACCTCACAATTTCGATTTCAACCTAAGATTTTTCCCAATTTGTTAAACCCTAATAGCACAATATACCCTAACTCGTTGCGTTAGATGAAGAAGATTGAACGTGCTTTCTAAAAAAATAAAAATAAAAACTTTGGGAAACACAGTGACTAATTTGGCTAAAAAAATATTCTCAATGACTGTGGGAACACATATTTTATCGGCCAATAAGAAGACGACACGTGGAAAAGGAATATTCCTTAGGTCAACTGCTAAAAATATGAGAACTATGAGAGAATATTTGTTTGTGGGAATTTTCTATATATTCTTCTCCTTGTAGGAGGTCATATTTATAATACAACTGAATTTTAATGGGCAAGTAAATAATAAATTCTTATTTCTATTTACAGTAGGAAATCAAGAATTAAAGTAAATCAAATATAATTATAATGGGAATCCTTGGTGTGTAAGGAAAGAAAGTCAATGGTCCACAAGTCACTCCAACACTCCCCCTCACGTTGGTGCATAGATGCCGCCAATGCCCAACTAGTCCAGTGAATTGTGGAACACTTTAATAGAAACTGCATTTGTCAAAATATCAACTAAGTGATCCTCGGACTTTACGAAAGGAAACTGAATCACTTTAGCTTCGAGCTTCTGTTTGATATAGTGTCAATCTACCTCAACATGTTTGGTGCGATCATGTTGAGCTGGATTTTGTGCAATAGCTACTGCAACCTTGTTGTCACAAAAGAGATTTATTACAGATGTAGGTCTATACCCAAGTTCAGTAAGCAACCTCTTTAACCAAATGAGTTCGCAAATTCCTTTGGTCATATCTCTGAACTCAGCTCCTACACTAGATAAGGCAACCACCTTCTGTTCCTTGGTTCTCCATGTAACCAAATTACCTCCCATGAATGTAAAGTAACCGGATGTGGATCATCCTTAGCTGAATAGGAAAAAAAACTTACTTCCTAAACCAAACTCCAAATTCTAATTGAAATAGGAAAACAAAAATATTTGCCTAAAACAGATTCCTAGAACATTAATTACGCATCTTAAGTCTGTCAAACTGAAACAGAAAATTATGAGCGATGCGTGCTGCATCATCCTCCTCGGGTCGAGAAGTATTCATCCCCGAATTCAAATCTTCCACATAAGAACTATCACCATGGTAAGGAAATAGATGTTTGACATTGAACACATCGGCAGTAGTATATGACTAGGAAGCTTGAGGCGGTAAGCATTTGGATTAATCTTAGCCACAATCTCCACTAGACCAATCTTTCTTGCAGCCAACTTGTTGTATTCCCCAACCAGAAAATGATCTTTAGTCAAGATAGTCCAAACGAAGTCACCTAAAATTCGACATGTCGGTGCTTCACATCAGCCACCACTACTACAAAAAACGAAATAGACGACGGGAATCCACCGTTGTGTATAATGTTTTACAACCGACGTAAAACGACCGCCGTCTTTTAACACATGAAATAACGACGGCAAATAACCAACGTGGTTAATATATTACACGTCATAAAACAAACTAAAACCGACGTCTATTTCATACATAAAAGCATACAAAGACAACTTTCGACTATATTAGACGACGGTTCTAGTAAAACACAGACGTTTAAATAATGTTAAATGTCAAAAACAACTACAAACCCGACGTAAATCAGTTTATCAACGTCTCTAATTAAAACAAAACCGACGTGTAAAACGTATAAACCATCGTGGTTAATAAATACTACGTTCACTAAATAAAAAAACTGACGTCTAAAAATATAACATGGTAAATTAGACGTCCGTTTTGTCAAAAAAAGTGACGTGTTAAATATTTAACATGGCATATATTTATTTGGACTGACGTAAAAACAAAATAACCACGACCCTTGAGGTCACCACAGACGTTGAAAATTATTTTGACGACTTGAACACAGAAACCAACGACTTGGATTTAATATTACAAGTCGGTTAATTAAAACACCTGTCATGTTTAATCCATTTACTATGACCTAGGAGTCCCATTTTAAGACGTTGTTAGTATTTTATAACGTCGGTGGTTGTAGACCTTGACGTGGTTGGCATTTTAAAAGTCTCTTTTGTGAGCCACTTAGACGTGTGTAATCTCTGAGACGTCATTGCTTTTAGTCTAACCGTCGTTAATAAGTAACGAAACGCCTTGAGTTATGGATTTGACGTCGGTTATTGTAAAATAAAGGTCGTGGTTATACTTTACTATGTCCCAAGAATTCAATTATTCGACGTT